ACGTAACACTTTTGCGTCACAACTATATGTGTTAGATTTTTGCCAACCACATTTATGTAAGTGTTTTTGCTCATCACGCCATTGTCCCAGATTGACTGAATGATCCGAATCTTCTGTGTCGACAAAACCTGTTGGACAGTATGTTGTGCTGCTTTCGGTTAAAAAAAAATTATGTAACACGAGGGAAGCAGCAACAATCAAAGTGATTAAAAAAAATTATTATAAATATCGTAAATAACAGTTTACAAATGCATATATACAGATATTTTTTGAAGGGGGGAAATGGTCTTCACAATTTGAAATCGATCGGACACACTGTGCGCGAATGCTCGTGTAAACGCGCGCCATCTATCGTAGGATAAATGTACTTCGCGGGAGTGTATTAAAAAATTAAAAAAACTTTCCAAAGTTTTATGGCAATCGTACTATGCCACAAACCTTCGCCAGAGTATATTAAATAACTTCCCAAAGTTTCACTTCAATCGGATAAACGGTGTGGCAATGCATGAAGGACACACACACACACACACACACACACACATACATTCATTTTTATATATATAGATGAGGCTACTTTGTATTAATTTACATTTATTATATTATGTTTGATAGTTCAATAAAATTTTTATGATTATTTTATTCACTAAAATGAATTGAGAGTTTATAAACACCATGTATAAAATTATGATATAATGTATAATTATTAAAAATTTTTTGTAATCATAATTTAGATGAATTTAATAACTTGTATAAAATAATTAAACATTAATATTTTATAAATGTTAATGGCTTTCATTAATGGGTTAATGAGGTAACATTAATTAATGGGTTTTATCACTTATGATGTTATGTGAGAAGTGATTTCAAAAGTTTTCAATACTTATTATTCTTAATTTACTTTATAATAATATCAAATAGAAATATTAATATACCTTCATTATCTAGATATTCAAAACGAACCCACTGAATAGTCTCTCTCTCTTCTTGTTTACCAGATCCACTATAAGCCTGTAACAAATATAAATTATCAAATTATAGATGTAATTATAATCAGAAATGATAAAGATAACAAGACAGATTAGAGATACCAAGCTTGTACATCAATAGTGGATGCAGAAGAATCCAAAAAGGGACTAACTCAAAATTTAAAATATTTGAATAATTAATAAGGACATTTTATTAACATGTGCACAATGATTATATTGCAGATGGTCTGATATACAGTAAAACCTGTTCAAAACATGGAAACCTGCCTAAATGGGAAAAATTCTTTAGAACGCAGCAATTTCAGTTTAAAAAAAATCTGTTCAAAACAGAAATCTGCCAAACTGGAAAAAATATTCAGTACCAAGTGAGTCCGATTTACACAAGTTTTTCTGTACTATATTTGCTGTCATACAGATTTTTAAAAATGTTTTAAAGTTCAAACAAATAAACTTTAATTTTTTTTATGTCAATGAGAAAGGTTTAAAGCCTCAGTAGCCCTCTTTGATCTGCTCCTGATAATGACATTACTGAATCTCAGCAATTGAATCATTAAATGAAAAGTGATATAACTTGCACCACAGCTGTCTCTATTTTCACAGATCTATAGACAGTTATTGGGATAGAAAATAAATGGTATAAAACAGAGCTGAGCAGGTACTGAAGAAAAATCTAATATCCATTAACATATTAACTATCATCCTGAATGATAATTGGATATTGTGTTACTTTTTATTACTTTAACTATTCTTGGTCCAATCAATAGAGGTAATATAAACATAAAATTAATTTTTTTAATTAATTTCATCAAAATTTTTTGTACCGGGTTCCTTCTCAAATTTTTGTTTTAAATTCCATGACTTTCACTGACTTCCCCTGATCAACTTTGTATAAATTCCTTGACCTTCATGTCCCATACAGTATGGCACATTGACAAAATAAAACAGCATTTGACTTACTATGCACATACACTATTACTTCTCCAACATTTTAATTAGTTATTTTTTAATTGCCAAAATTATTAAAACTAAAAATAAAATGTTTTATTAAATTAGAGTAGTTTATTCTGTCATTAATCCACAACCATAAATCTACATGGCTTTGAAAAAAAGCAATTATTTATTATCCATTAACAAATCCTATACAATCCATGTACAAAAGTATATACAGTAGATCCCCCTATAAGACGGTAGATACGTTCCGTTCTTTATGAATCAATTTTGTAGGAATCATAGTTTACGGACTACGGCTGTTTGAAAGGTTTTCTTTCATAAAATTAATCGATTCTAGACTAATTCGACTCAACATTTCCAAAATACGTATATTTTTTTTAAAATAATCCGTATAAACTACGTTATAAACAAAAAATTGTAGGATTACTTACCGAGTGTGTACCCTTTGACTACGCTCGTTGCTAAAGCTTGGTTTCGTCGCGGAACAGCGCATCAAATTGCGGCCGCGATTTCTGATATTATTTTTCTGCGAAAACTTCGTTGACCTTTGGAGACATCATTAATATAAATAATTTTTATGGCCGTTAAATAAGAAATGTTTCTTTCACAAGAAATGTATAAAATTACAGTACTAAACAGACGATAGGTCGCCTAACTCGCCGTAGCGTGACGCTAGACGGCGAAAAATATATATTTAATTATAATAAAGTTACAATAAATTAAGTTAATATATAATTATATATACAGTACCTAATTTATATATAATTAATATATAATTATATGTACAGTACCTAATTTATATATAATTTATATAATACTGTCCAGACGATAGAAATCTCTCCGTAGCGTGGCGCTACGGACGGCGGGTAAGTAGTTCGGCTGCCCGATGACGTTTTACGTATTATAGGAGTTATTTTTACCGTTGTTTACGGATAATGCCACAATTTTTATAGGAATCATAACTATAGGAAACGGTTTTATAGGGGGATCTACTGTATTTATTAAATTTATCTCTTAATAAATTTCCTAAACTTCATAAATTTATTAATACGCTGAAAAAAAAATCATAAATTGTTGTTATGCAATCAAAATTATTAAAATGAAAAACGATTAATAATTTTAATTTAAATGTTGTTATTTATCATTTTTTGTACTTTGTACATTTTTGAGGAAATTTTGTGTATGCTTGGGAGAAATTTTGGGTCCTGAAAATATTCTGCACCCCTTTTCATAAGTTGTATTGCACCATATAACTTCTTGTTGACTGCAGATGGCTATACTTAGTCAAGCATATTGTCAGTAAACAATTAACAAGGCAGCCAAGGAGACAAATTTCCTGACTTTTTGACAATTTTTGGCAAATTCCCTGACTTTCCATGACTTTTTCTGAAAACCAATGTAAATCCCTAATTTTTCCTGATTTTCCAGGTGCATAGGAACACTGTATGTATATAATCTGTGTCAACATATAATATGTAAGTTTAAAAATAGAGGTATACCCTAGGTTACATACAGTAAACAATGTATTCCATCAAATAGTACCGGTAGTTGTATTGTGAATGGTCAGATCATAAATTGCCTTTCCTCCATACGTTTTTTTTTATTTAAAAAAAATTTCACCTCCTGGAAAGTTTGAGCAATGATCAATATGGTTTCACACCCCAGCATTCCACAGAGGATGCCCTTTTTATACAGTGTGATAGTCTATAGCAAGGAAAAAAGACGTTGATGTCTCTTTTAATATTTCTAGATATCAAAGGTATATCTGACAATGCATAGTGACCCTCAATTTTAAAACTTATTAGAGATACCAAAATACCACAGAATATTTTCTACTTGCTCAAGGATTTCTTAAAAGACAAGGCAGCTAAGCTGAAATTGGGCTTTGTTTGAAAAAAATCTGCTGCCTAATAAAGACTGTCTCCAAGTCTGAGTATCTGGACTCCTACTCTGGAATATTGTTATAAATGACTTGCTAATTAAATCACTATACTGTTTCTGTTTGTCAGTTATAAAACCAGCTATATCGTTAAAAAATAACTAATTACTGACAATTTGCCAAATTTTCTTAAAACCTAGAAGTTTTCGGTCTTTGCCCAAACACTCAGACACACAATGCAAAAACTAGACCAGTGGCAACACTTAGAACAAATAAAGAGTTTTATCAATGAGGATAGCTAAGTTGGATCATGGTAGGGGCAAAATATATGAGGATCATATCTGCAGTTTGTTTTATTGTGAGATGTCATGACCTGGGATACTCCTGTACTTAAAATTAAATTACAGTGTGATCCTAATTTACAAGTATTCAATATATGAAAATATAATACAACAAGCTGGTTTTTTTAATCTCTTTTTCCTTTTATGAGATCAAATATTTAATACAATGAACCCCAAGCAATTTTTATGAGAATAAAATATTCTAATCATGTGTGTGAAGCAAGTGAAATTTTGAAATTTCCATGTGCTCTTATTAAATGGATTATACATTCCAATCATCATTTTTTTATTTCATTCATGTTGTCTTCATTTGCTGGGATAGTATTAATCATTCTAATGCAATTATTCAGTTTAGTGAGCATCTCTACATTACAGATCAGTCTATTAGATGTTTCAATTTTGTTAATTAGAAAGCATTTTATTTTAGTCTATTTTACTTACTTTCTGCTTAGTTATTATCTTTAATTTATTTAATGCTAAGAAAGCAAAAGTTAGTTATGTCTGGTAATTTAATGTTTCTCTTTTCTTATGTTGTATTTGTTTCTCTCTTTTAATATTAGCTCTTTTTAAATCAATAAACAATCTAGTCAATACTTTTATTTATATTTTGTTTCATTTAGAACGGTGGTTTTCAACCTTTTTTGACTTGTGTACTCTTTGGCAGCCCATTTTCCTAAGTTTTATTTCCCATTTCTGCTAAGTTTCATTTCATATGTTCATCAAACAGTGGCATCTTGGTCAATTACATGTAAAAAAAAATTTTGCATTTAAATTGAAAAGTGTTGAATGAAGGACACAGATAAACATAAATAAAAATATAATTATATTTTTATTAAAACTAAGCATCAAGTGCATGATGTTGCCAAAGGCCTCAACACAGAATCTAAATACAGTATTCTTATAGTATATCCACCATTATTAATTTCTTTTCACACATCTCTAAACCACCCAGGTATATGTATCTCTGGTGGGAAATCTCTGATTTAGAACATTGCTTGATAGATAAAAATGCTACAAAACACCTATTTATGTTATTTGGAAAACATGGATTAGACAACTGGATTGCCTCAGAATAAAATTTTAATTTTGATCATAAAAATAATGAAAAAAGCTCTTTTTTATTTATAAAATAAGATTTCATCTTATGAAAGGTTTTCAGGAATAAGATATGCAGCACATCTGAATTGGGTCTGTAAACATTTATTAAGCTTACTAAACAATACCACTAAATAACATATACCAATATATTATATTGTATATCAATAAAACTTGTCTACAGTTTATGAAAATTATTTAAGATCAAAACTTTTAGTTTATATGTAAAAGCCTATTAATGCCAAATAAGATACTTTGGTTACTAAAATTCAGACTTAGTTGTTTTTATACATATCCAAAGGCTGGACTTTTTTCTTGAGTAAAACCCTTGTTAGTCTGATATAGTGAGTGTTTATAGTATTTACACAAATAAAAGCATTTGTTTGCTATTTTACTATCTTTTTGTAATCAAAAACTCTGGCCTTGAGATTTGTAGAGTTAAATGGAGTATTTGGAGTTTTTGGCTATTCTAGATTATTTGTATTCAACTTTATAAATCTTTAAATTCATACTGAAATCAGATGGCTATCTCAATTTAAAATTGAATAGATTTTTAAGCTTTACAGAATTTTTATTTTTAAATAACATCAGTAAAACTCATGAAAGAAAGTATATAGATTTTAACTAAAGCTAAATAATAATTGAAGGTAATAACTGAAGTAATTAATAGTTAAACTAAAGTAAATACAGTAGAGTCCCGAAAACTCGGCACTCGATAACTCAGCAGTCTGGATAACTCGGCCACACCATAGCAGG